ATTTACACCCTCGGAAACCCTATACAGGGTCGCTATGGGTCGGAACCGACTCAACGGCACTTAACAACAACAACATATATATATATATACTGTTAAGTGCCATTGAGTCAGTTCCGACTCATAGCAACCCTATATAGGCTTTCTAAGGAGGGACTAGTGGGCTTAAACCACTGACTTTGCAGTTAGCAGCCCAGTGTTTACCCTACAGCAGCACACCAGGACTGTCTCCATTATTTAAAAAACACTTTTGAAATATCTCTACTGATATATATGTATGTGTGTGTGTTGTTTTTTAGTGCTGTTGAGTCATTTCTTGCCCATAGCGACCCTGTATAGGGTTTCCGAAGAGCAGCTGGTGAACCTGAATTGCTGACCTTGCAGTTCAAAGTGACTTTGCAGCCCAGTGCATAACCCACAGTGCCACACCATGACTCCTTTTATCCTTTTATACACACACACGCACACACACACATATGTATTGTTAAGGGCCATCATGTAGGTTCTGATTCATAGACACTGTCTAGGGTTTCTGAGGCGTGGTTAGTGTGTTTGAACTGCTGACGTTGGGGTCCAAACTGACCTGTGGTCCAGTGAATTATCCTGCAGTGCAATACCAGGGCACTCTCTGTCTTCCATAGATATATGTACATACATAAATGGAGAAATTTCAAAAGTGTTTTCTAAAGCATATTATGAAATCAATTCAAGGCAAACTTTTTTTTTTTTTTTTTAGTTCTGGAAGAACAAAGGAGAAATCAGACATTGCACTAAGTGGGTGATGTTCAGGGAATGTGTGATTTTACACAGTAAGGCGGGGCCTGAGGGTCACAACACTGCCAAAGCAGCCTTTCCTCAGAATCCTGAGAAGTTTATTGAACACCCACAGGCTCCATGGTGTGATGATACAATCAAACAGACTGGCCCTTACTAAGGACTCGAGAAAATATACAGCTACTGTCACAGTACAGTTTATTCTGTATAATAAAGTACATTGTGCATAATCTAGCAAAGATCAAATACTATCATAGAAAATATTTAGCACCCGCTGTATTTTCAGGCATTAGAAGATTGTGACCTTCTCTGCTGGCTCAATCTTCACAAATTTACATACATTGTTGTTGTTATGTGCCGTGGAGTCGGTTCTGACTCATAGTGACCCTGTACAGCATTTCTGAGGCTGTAAATCTTTACGGGAGCAGAAAGCCTCATCTTTCTCCCATGGGAACAGCTGGTAGTTTTAAACTGCTTACCACGAGATTAGCAGCCCGATTCATAACCACTATGCTACCAGAGCTCCTTACATACACTGTAGCCCAAAGTAAAATTTAACTTTTAAAAGAAGTTATAACAACATTTTTTCAAATAAAACAAATCCAGTTGGTAGGAAAATAAAGTTCCACTTGACATTTGGGTATATTTGTTTCCTGATCACTTGACACATCTGTGGCCAGAAACCCCACTTGAGAAGGAAACCAAGTAACTTCCCTCTCAGAGCCGGGACCACTTGTTCTGTGCGCATAAATGAAAACCGATATTCACCCATTAATGATAATTAAGAGATACTAGAGACAGTGTGGAAAAAAAAACAAAACTATCACCCCAGTGATTTCTACAGCTGATAGACAGACTCAAATCTGGTCAGCCAAGATACTGACTGAAAAATGAAGCTATTTTTGTTTGTATGGTAGAGAATTCTGATAACACTTCTTGGCTTACATGTTATCTTCTTTCACTAACCTAGTTAGCCTGATAAGCAAGACAAACTGCTCATTGAGAAGCTGTTTCTTCTGGTTTAGGATCACTTAACTATTTTTTTGTAGAGGAGATTGCCAGTCTTTCTGGCAGTTAATCAACAATGATGCCACTTTTCTTAGAACTATTCATTTCCTTAGAACTATAAATTTCTTAAGTGCTAAACAGCCCAAACTATTACAGCATGATTTGCTCTAGGTTCACGGTTTTAATTTACATAATCACTTTTCTCCTAGACAAGCAACAGTAACCACAGTATAAGGCAGAGATGGCTTGTTGGTGACAGCCCTCTTTGTCTTTTGCAGAGGGACTTCTCAGCAGCCAGTGGCCGGGTGCAGCTTATTTTCTGAGTTTCAAAGAAGTTTTCCTCATTTTAAAACAACAACAAAGAGTTATTCCTGAAAATAGTTCAATCGTCAAATACTTTGACCGAGTGTGACACCTTATGGCGTTTGGGCAATACAACTTCAAGAATGTAAATGATTTAGTCCATATGAAATTCTTTAAAAATGAAACTAAGTGGTACTTCACTTCTGCTGCATTGAGATGTATTAGTGCCACTGACTCTTCTATTGTAGTGGTAAAAATGTAATCCAGCATTAGCACCCATCTACAAGAGTTAGTAGATGTTAATGAAATATGATGTGGTGTACTGGAAAGTAACAGTCCCAGTAGCCCATCATGGAAAAGATTACTAATAATGGGAAATAACGGACATACTTTCTGTCAAGCCCTTCCAGTACTTGAGTAAGTGAAGCATTAATGTCACGTTTTTGTAAAGAACAGAATTATATCACATATAGATGGTTCCAAGGAATTGTGTTGCTACCGATTGTATGTCAGGATAATCCCATTTAAAATATACTGTACTCATTGAATGAGGAACATCAGAAAGCTTAATGCTAGTGATTGACTGACTTCCTTTTAACCAAAGAGCTGCCACTGCAGTTCAAAATAAAGGGAAGCATTCTAAACAACTGAGAAACGTTTACATGAAAATATGCTGCATTTAGATTAGCCATCAGTTATTAGACATGGTAAATACAGGCTACGAAAATAAAGTGCATCTTTACAGCATATAACACTTTAGACCCAGGAGTCTTTTCTTTAAATGTATCCAATATACCCAACATAGCAAAGCTATATAGAAACAAAAAAGTATTCCAGTTGAAACATTACAATTTTTCAATACGTCAGAGGGACATATAACCTTTTATTTAATGCTATTGAGATTTCAAGACTTCTTTATGTATTTTAAGCAAATTTCCATTTTGTATGGGAGAAAGGAAAGCCAATGTTCTAGAAGGCACTAACTGGTTTAAATGTGTAGGATACTTCATAAAGAAAACATGTGCATAAGGCAGTCCAGAAGACTGTCTTCGTTCTTGTGTTGTCTTCCTTACTCTTCCCTCGGAGGTGCCACATTGTAGCTGAGGAAATGCATCAGTCACCAGCTTCCCCACCACAGCTTCCATGTGCTCAGTCCACGGTGTCACAGATCTCATTTACTTTCAGGTTGAACTCTTCTGGTTGGTCTGCATACACGTAATGCCCTGCTCCAAGGATGGCCTGCGTGAGTACAAGCAATCAATGAAACACATGGAAATTAGCATAGACACTTCACAATCAAAGCTGCAGCAGTGTATTTAAACAAAGCACAATACAAGTGGGCTTCAGAAAGTTTGTGGAAAACGGAATTAAAAGATGAGGGATACATGAGCCCTGGATATCCATAGATAAATGTAAAAACCTTCCCTAAAAGCCGAGACTGTAAATTCCAAAAAGGCAAAGTTTTCCCCCCCACAAAAAAAGCTAAAGAGGATAGAGAGAAACACTGTTAACTGATGA